TCACGAGTTAAAAGAACATAATCAGTCATACATGATAAGACAAATATTGGCTTCATGCTGCAGAAATTGGGATAAGCTGTGGCTAGATGGGACGCTTGATTGAGTGCAGACTTGACTTTTTACTAAGAGAACAACACTAGCATGAAGCCTGGAAGAGCTTGCTCATAACAAGTTGCTCTGAAACAACCTAGAAATAATCAAAGTGTATGACAGCCAACCTGAAGTAGTTGGAGGGACTTCTCCTGGTTTGGCGTGCTGTTGGGCAATTGAACCATAACCAGTCAGGATCTTCGTTTCAGGTCCTGTCATGTCGACAACCTAAAAATGATAAACAAGAAACTGCATACCAAATTAAACAGTTAAAATTCAGTAGCAGCACCTCCAAGAGGTGGCTCTTCCATAGCTGTTTCCTTGGTCAGAATTGAATCTTTTTGTGTTGATTTGTTCAGAATCCATGTCCAAAAATGAAACTCGGACCATGCCGGAGAGATGTCAGTGCTCTTTACACTATGCCATCCCTACACCATGATAAATTATTTTTAAAAAATATTGTACACAATACTCATAACAACTGCCTGAAGAGGGAGGGTTTTTACATTTTTGTTAGAATTATAAAGACACCAACTCCACCTTTGATAAATAATATTAGACAAGAAATGACAGACAGGTCTTCAGGTTTACGACAATTCCAAAAGTGGTTTCCAGTCCATTCTATTTGTTTATAAGTTTCTCTGCCTTAGGTGCGGAATATTTGCTGCAAGTTATGACTTTATACGAGGACAAAAGTTTTGTGTTAATTCTTTGAAGAAATGATGATTCATAATCTTTTATAATCTCGCATCTTGTTTTAATTCTCAGGTGACACTATGAGATGAACTTCTCTCTTGATATCAATGACTACCTTTATCTTGCTGTGCTTCAGAGATATTGATGGCCCTTTTTTACTTCCTCCTGTTGCCTGTTTGGAACAAAAGGAAACTATCTTAGATTTGCTTAAATATAATTTAAAAGTAATGCAGGGAGCAGCCATCTTTTATACAGCTTGACACAACTGTAAACATTTACAAAGGAAAATACTTCAACGATAGAAGAAGTGAAACAAATTGAGTTACCTTAACCTCGTCCACTGTTTTGTAAACATATTTTGGCTTTGAATATCCCTGTGTAAAAATGACACATTTGGAACATTAAAGTTTGGCCCCTTGTTTGACAAAAGGGTGGGGATGTGAGTAAAATCAAAGGAAACTCCCAAGCCAGGGTGGCACTCTCTAAGATAAATGATTTTAACTCATACAATCCCATTAATACTGCAATACCTCCTCTGTCTTCTTCCACTGTTGAAGTTGTTCTTTAAATTTTTCTTCCTCTTCTTCTTCTTCATCATAAACAGGTCGTAACTTTTGTAGAAAAATAGTTTATTAGAAAAGCAGTCCCAGAGAACTTTTAAATCAAAGATATTGAGTCATACATTATAAGATATGGATTGAAAACTCAGCTTAGTCACCTAGATAAAAGGAGTATACAGATTCATCAATTGGCAGATTTGGTCGCAAAAAAGTCACAGATTACCAAAGGAATTCACAGATTTAAAACATAGGCAAGTCTACATATTGACTGACAATTTTGATACAGACTCAGGAGTCACATTGCTGGTTGGATTGTCAGTCTACAGTTGCAGCTATTTGGTGAAGAACATTTTTCAGTTTTCAGTAATTAAAGGAGGATAAAATAAACTCTACTAACTTTTAAACCTTGACTGGTTGACCATTCCACTTGCAATTACTAACTTTATTTTTTCAGACATCAGCAAAGACACTCTAAACAGTAACTCCACAAATTTGAATAAAAATAGATCAAGATTTGACTGAATATAACAACAGTCAGCATGTCAGGCCTAAAAATGAGCAGATTGCCTTATACCAACCCACTCTACATGATGAAATTTCTCACATGAACAAAAGGCACAATTCTTTGTCAGATTGCCAAGCTCACTTGAAAAGGTTCTCAAATTATTTAATTTTTCTGTAGATTTTATTTTTCCACACATACCTCTTGAGCTTTCTTGCTTCTCTCTGGGCCATAACTTCCTAGTGCTCCGCGTCCCTCACGTTTAAAGGCTTCTACTGGATATACAATACCCTGTCCATCCTTACCCAGACCTTTTCCTGGCTCGTAACCCATCTAGAAAAAAATGTTTGTAATTCAGTGCACTGAAAAAATTTGTTGACTGAGTGTTGCCTAATTGCTTACTGTTGAGATACAACAACATAGTCAGAGGCTTACTACTTCTCACCTGCTGAAGCATTTTCATGCCAAACCCTTTTGTATACTTTTCAAATGATCCAAATTCCCTGGTGATAATAAAAGAAAGATATGCCACAATGAAGGAAAAAGTACATTGCCAGAGTAACCTTATATTATATTTCTTCAAGACAATCTGGCCCATTTTCCCCACTAGGGTCCACAGATGGCAAACCTGAGACTTGCTAAAATTCCCAGGTCCCAGTAGTTCAGAGGGGGGATAACGCCATTCGGTGGATAAATCTCTTTCCGCTGAATAGCTCAATACATGAATTTTTGTTGATGCCTATCCTCCGGATTGTTGGAGGCGTGTTGGCTTCATGGTCAATGCACTCGACTCTGGATCGAGTGGTCTGGGTTCAAGCCCTGGCCAGGGTCATTGTGTTGTGTTCTTAGGCAAGACACTTTACTCTCACAGTGCTTCTCTTCACCCAGGTGTACAAATGGGTACCAGCAAATGTGCTAGAGGTAGCCCTGCGATGGACTAGCATCCCATCCAGGGGGGAGTAGCAATACTCCTAGTTGCTTCATGCTAAGAAAACTGGAGTTAAGCACCAGCCCCATGGGCCACTTGGACCCCATATAAAGGCTTTACTTACTACTTTTATCCTCTGGATGGCTATTTATCCCTTGTTTGAATGACTGGGCCAAAACCCTCAAGTCTTGAGAAAATTCCATAACATTAAGATTAACCCTTTCACTTCTCTAATGACTAAAATCTAATTTCTCCCCTCAATATCTCCCCTGTATTAAGTCATAAAGTTCACAAGAATAAAGGAAATTATCATCAACTAAAGAAGCTCTTGAATTCGTTGTCAGCAACTGAAGAAATGTATGATGAACAGTATAGAGAATATCCACAATGACATTAGGGTGTAAAGTGTTAAATAAAAATTTCTTAGCCCTGAAGCAAGTCTTAGTCAACATTTTCCATTAACCCAATTCATCAATTCCATACCTAACTTCTAATTAGGGGAGGGGAGGGTTCTCTTTACTTAAACTGCAGGGAGGGGAGGGACATGCACAGAAAACAGGAGGGGGAGTTAAAGGAAGAGAGAAAATTGATTTTGTTCCAGTTTCTCTGGGTGCAAATAATTGCTCATTGAAATAAATCAATTCTTACTTTCCAGAAGTCTTTAGGAGCTTCTTGGCAAACATCTGAGGCCCTGGAAAAAAGAAGAAACAAACGTTACAACTGAACATTGATACAGGGTAATTCGGTATTATCAACTGAATTCATAACATAAATTAGCCACTGTAAGGAGTTATTACAACACTGAAACAACTGACACTGCCTAAAGTGAGCATTCAGATGTGAGTACAATTTCATATTTTAAGAATCACAGTTTACCTAGAGGGCCAGTTTCTTTTTTGACTCCAGTTCCCTTAAACAGCTTCTTATCTCTGACAACAGGAGAATTTCTCCCAGACCCTGGACCTTTCTCACTAGCACTGCTACCAACACTGGCAGCATCTGCAGAATAATAATAAAATTATTTCATGAAATTAAAGTAATCATTACATGAAACTTAAAAACTCGTGTAGTTCTGATGTATTACTACTGAAATAGTTGTGTTATGAGTTCTTCCGGAATGTTAAATTATACTGTAACAAAAGAAAGAAACCCACCGTCATCATCTGTTTTTTTGTCCTTTCCTTTCTGTACAACTCCCCCACTGACAAAATTCAGAGGTTTTGTATAATCCTTCTTCCTTTTCCCAGAGAAACTTGGTCTGTCATCGTCATCCGAATCTTTGTCCGCCCAAATGCCGTAGATGGCGTCTTCTTTGGTCATTTTGCGTCTTCTAAAGCCCAGACCCATTCCTTCCATCAAATCGTAGTCTGTGATCTCAAAATCTTCGAACTCCACGTCGTCTGCCATTTTTAACTTTTCTCAGCCCTCAACGGTTAAAGACAATTTTTAATGATATTGGTAATTCTACAGAGATTTTTCAGGCCCTTTTAAGAGCTGAGTCCTGTTCAAAACAACAAACAAACAGAGAAAAGACAGCACGGTGTCAAACGAAAGTTTATCCGCCATCTTGTGCGCAAAGGTAATGAAGCATAAATTTCATTCTCAGCCGCTGTTCAGAAAAAAAGAAGTCACAACTAAACAATTTTCATGCAATAGTCACGTAGTCACGCACGGTTGCTCCCATCACGCTCACGCTCTTCCTTACTAACACCTAGATGTAACGACATCGTCAAACAAAAATGCAAAAAGCGAAATTGAAAAGGGTAAAAAGTTGATAAATTACCCAATAAATTTTCCTTTTAGGATCTTATCAGTGTTATGTTTTATACTTGAAGATGTGAGATGGAAGAAGTGTGGTTTCCCATTTCGCAAAATATTTACCTTTGGTAAAACCTGCTTCCATGTACCTGCTTTTTGATCACGACGTTTCATAATTTTTTTTAAAAGGATGTTGTTTATTTCCAAGCCAATTATTTGTCATCTCATGCTAATTTGATGAGATTTCACTGCTTCGCAAGTTTGTAACATTGGACAAGGACATATCATGGTCCTCATGATTTTCAGCAATATAGTTACTATAATAGTAAGTCCTGTCAAATAATACCACAGGTGTTTATAAAAATCTTGAAAACTGACCATAAGCCAAATAAAGATTTTTTCAGTTGATGAAGAAAACAAGGAAGCCTGAGGCAGTCCCTTCATTAAATCAAATCAAACAAAAAGGTGAAAAGAAAATATAATTTAATTCCCATATATTAACAAAAAAAAAAATTACAACAATAATTACATCTATCTAATGACTCCACGGCATTATGCTAATTTTACACGACATTTTCGAATGCCCAATTTTCTTGACTTCTTGGGTATTTTGGCAAATTCTACCTGGACAACTTTAACTAAGAGATGAGTGTTGTTACTGGACCAAAAAAATAGAGAAAAAAGATTTTAAATGACTCTTCCCTTCTCCTTGTGACAACCATGTCCACATTGATATCTTCTAGAAAAAGTTTGAAAACAGGAGCAATGATGATGATGATGATGAAAATGTCAATAAACATTACCTAAGAGAAAATCTACAAATATAAAAGCCTTAAACAATTAAGTCATTTGTCCGTAAGATCCAAACACCAGTTCATTAACACTTTTTAACATTGTTTTGTTTGAAAATGTTTTAATTTTTCATGGCTTCTGTGGGATGCATTATTGCAAAAATCTAGAGTAACTTATTTGGATAAGTAGTTAGTTCTAAATTCCAAATCAACCTAAGAACAGTAGACAAAAAGAGACACCACCTGGAATGTCCATTGCTAAATCCCATAATCAGAATTATTATCAACATTAATAAAGCTAAAATTTATTGTTTGCGGTAGTTTTCTCAGTTAGTTCTACTGGTATGAGTAGTAATTAATAATAGAGTTGAAGTCTCATTCAGTGCAGCTAAAGCAACCCAGCAACAAATGCAAGTGTTATTCGTTGAGTGCACTCTTTTTTCTCTAGCTGAAGTTTTGTGCTTGTAAATTTCTGTTTTAGTTTAACTGCTTCAATAATTCAATGTTCAATGGAGTTGCCGCCAGGGCAGAGGATCAACTAAAGCATGTGTTAATTTTAGTTGCTGAAGGTTCCTTTGAGAAGAATATGAGGCTACTTCCTAGATGTCTAAGGCCTCTGTTTCAAGATGAGTGTAAAGGCATTCTCACATGAATAAAACTCATTTTCACAGGCACCTGGCCTAATTTTTAAATGGAAGGATTTTGAACTTGGAATTGGGCTATAAATTTTCATCAAAACTGTAAATTTCTGAGTAACATTAGACTACCAGCAGTTGCTCCTTTTAACAAATTCTGTCAGACGTCCAAAATAATCGGCAAAGAAAAAGATTGATGCTAGCACACAGCAGTGTGGAACACTGGAAGTGAGGCCCAAAGAGTTCCATGCAACACACTTACATCAGTTTTTTTTACTATTTTTTTTTTACTAACGCCACAGACTTTGCAGAAAAGGAAGGACTGCTCATAGTCTGGAGTATTAAACTTTATATTTCAGGTAAAGTTATGTCATGTTGCCATGTGGACTCATTATACAAAAAAAATATTATAAATCATTGTAAATTTGAATAAATATAAGACAATGTTGACACCATGATTACAACCATAGGACTCAGTTCTACAAATGTCTTTTGAGGACTTCTATCATCTCTGAAGGAGGATGCTTCTCAAAACACACATTGTAGATGGCAGTAAACAGAGGATACCTGAAAAAGAGAAAAATCCAAAATCAGATGAGGTAATTGGAGCACAGTTTGTATGTTACAGTCACCTGCCAACACTTCTAGCTGTTAAGATATCATCAATGGATATCACAAAGTCTACAAAAGATAAACAAACAAACAAACAAACATAGCCTAAAGCATGCAAAGATGACAAAGAATATATTTGGAATTATTTACTCCTTTCCTGTTTGGTGAAATTTGTGTTGGTAATTCGGGTTACAATTATTGCAAAAAAAAGTTCTTCAACTCAAATTCATAATCTATATACTGGTACTGGTTTGTGAGCAATATCAAGCAGACACTTACTCAGAAAGCAAATCATTGTCCTTGAGAAGATGATACACTTCATAAACTGTGTGGGGCCCCTGAAGCTTCTGCCCTCCAAGTATGTACTGTTCAACTTCTTCAAATGTCTTATCAAATACAGAAAAAATATGGGTTAGTATCTAAGCACTAATTTTCAAAATCATTTAACTCGTAGATGAGACTTAATTCAAATGTCAAAATTTCATGCACCCGACTTACACTCCTATCTGGGTCCATCCAAATAATAAAACATGACAATTAACTAAGATCTAAAATTTAACCATTAAACCTCTTAGAGTAATTTGCATCAAATTTCTCTTTACAATATCATCCCTGAATTACACAGTAAGGTCATGAGAATAAAGGAAATGATCACCAACTGAAGATGCTCATAAGTGTTAAAGAAATTCTCCTTGTCAGCAGCTTAGATAATGTATGGAGAATATGCATACTGATGTCAGGATGTAAAGGGTGAATGAGACAAACTTACACTTAGTGAACCAAGGAAACTACAGGGTACAAAAATAAATATCTGCATAATTCATGCAATATGTTTTCCTCATGAAGATTTGAGGTTTAACTCAAAGTCGTACTCAAAAACTTCCCATGCAGACTAAATGTACTCAAACTTAACCCTTGGGTTAATCTAAATTACATGTGTTGAACGTTCTTGAATTTTGCTGAAGAAGTTAGTGTATTTATATTTCAGAAGAAGCTTTACCATTTACACCTAAACATCAGTATGCATATTCTCTATACTGTTCTCGAGAGATAAGAAGAACTTGTTTAACAACAAAGGGCTTCTTCATTTGGTGATCACTTTTTTTAATTTTTGTGACCATGTTTGATTCAGGGGTGATGTTGTGAGGAGAAAATTACATGCCAGTCATTCTTAAGAGTTTAAGGGTTACTAAGTATTCAGCTTTTTGTGTTAAATAGCTGCAATGCCACATTTTGGCTCTTAACCATCTTAAAAATTTGGTAATTCTCCTTACTGTCTACCAAATGATTCTCATTATGTTAGTTTGGAGAATTTGCTATCAGATCAATTAGTAATCCCATAATTGATATTTTTCTTTATTCTTGTCACTTGTCTGCATGATATTGTACAGATACAGTAGGGAGAAATTCTGTCTTCATCACTCACAGGAATTAAGGGGTTAAAAGAGAATGAAACCTTAAAATAATGCTTTACAGGGATGGACACAACCCCAGATATAGGAAAACAAACATGAGGAACAACGATGTTGATGGATAGAAAAGATGAACACAGAATTGAAATTGCAATCTTTTGGGAGATGGTGCATGTATTTACAAACCTTTCCCTTCACAAACTCTTCTCCGGCTATCCTGTTTCTTCCACCATAACAAGTAGTTATTAAATCAGCCACTCCACATGATTCGAAGAAAGTCTCCAGTCTGACATCATCGTAGAATCTTCGAGCAAACTGAATCATTTCTTTGAGTCCAATGCGAATGACTGCTGCCTTGGAGTTGTCACCATAACTGAAAAAATGACAGGATTACATTGTCATTAAACAAAAGGAAAAAAAACCAGAGAAAAAATTTTCTGACCCTGACCCTATGTTTTATCTTCCTTAACCTTTGTTTCAGAAACTCTGTTAAATATTATTTCTCTCTCAAGGGAATCAGCCAAAGAACATTTCTTACCCTAAGGCATCCACAACTCCAGCTCCAACTGCCACAGCATTCTAAGAAGAGAAGATTTCTGTCAATCTCTCTTACACCATTCCTCATTAACTACACACAACTTTATAAATGAATTGAATGAAATTACAAAAGATGAAAAACATAAATACTCAATAATTATATAAAAACAAATACTTGACTCCAGATTCTCCCTGACTTGAAAAAACTTAATCCAAACTTCACAATTTGAAGTAAAATTTAAGCCATTCACCATCAGCTAACTTGAAATTTCTACATAAAATAAACTATTTTTTAACAAGGTTCATACACATTTTTTGAGTGCAAACCATTCTTTTTATTTTCCAGACTCTAGGTTATGCGCCAACTTGATAGTTCAAGCTAGTGGAGTTCTGTTGCATTTTTTAAATTTGTTTATTAGAAGAAGTATCCTGATTTGAACAAACCTTAAGTGAGCCACAGAGTTCAACCGTGTCTGCATCTGACACAACATTGATTTTGAAATAATCTGTATGGAACAAATCCTTAAGGATGGGACCATGTTCTTCCATACGACAACCTGTTTGAATTAAAAACAATGTATATTAAATAAAAAATAACTATTACTGATCATGTGTTGTATTTCATACTAGGGACAATACAAACATGATCTTGGATGAATCCACATCAAGAAATCTCCACAATGTCAATTTCTAGATGCACAGGTGGATGCACAACCAGAGATATTAAAACATACATACAGACAGATAAAAATAGAAATAACATCGAAATGCAAAAAGGCAAAAAGGGTCAAGCCAGAGAGGAACTAAATCCTCATTAACGGCAGCCCCCAGAATAAAAGCAATATGCAATAAAAATAGAACTAAAATGTAAAGGTAAAAATTATTTGAAAAAAAAACTTAATTGATAAATAGATATTGGTGCAATATTATTGATATTATTTAAAAATGTGTTCTTTCAGTTTTTTTTTAAACTTACTAGCAGAGCTAGAGCTAATTATGTCACTTGGCAAGTCATTCCAGATTTTTCCACTATATATAAATTATATGAAGTTATTATATAAATAAATAAATCAAGTAAACCCTTCAACTACCAGAAGTGATTAACATGCAACTTCTCCCTCTAATAACCATACATTGTGCAGAAAATAGGTAATGAGAATACTCAAGCTTATCAGGTAGCAGTAATCTTGATCTAAAACCAAATCCCCAAAACTAATTTACATGGAAATTTCTAGCAGCTAGACAAGAGAATTTACAAGTTAAGGGATTAAACAGGGTAAATTTACGAACAAAGCTAGATGCTTTGAAGGCTTCTCTTCAAGTTACAGTAAGGGCAGTAGCAGTTATGATTAAGTCTTTATCATTGTGGTGTTCCTCTCCAGATTATAAATTTGTTTTAAAAATTGACGACAATTTCCAACTACTGGGGACTCATTCTTTTGAGTTTATACCAGGTATAGCATTTCGATTTTAGACATAGAAGTTACTGAAGTTTGTTTTCTGTGCTATCTGTTTACAGCAATTTTAAATCAGCACCAGCAGTTATTTCCTTCAATACTTAATCTCCCCTTATATTACCTATAGTAGCCTCTCCAAACATCTCTCTGGCTACTTCCTTGGCAAGGTTTGCTCCCATCAAGACACTGACATGAGGAATTTCCAGAGCTTCTTTAATCATGGTCGACACAAGATTAATTCCAGTGCTTGCATGATCAAGACCCTTTAAGATAAGTTAAATCAAAGTGAGACAAAACTGTTCTGAATGTTTGTGTCACTTTCCTTTACAAGAACAATGAACAACAAATAAGTAGTATGAATACACAATGGGTGTCATCTTGATACAACATTGATTTCTCTTAGCTTACATACAGAGAAATGTATGACAGGTGGAAGGGAGAATTTCAAATCAGATCTAGAGAGTCAAAAGATTTGTAATAGGACTCAACAAAGAGATAAGGGTGACTCAATTCTTATGAAGACCAATCCTTCCAACCCAAGTTCTCAAGTTCAAGATTCTTCAAGAGTTTATTACCATCAGGGCAAGTGCCTTTATAAACTTCCCAACATCTCCACAGGGGATCTTCTAGTAACAGAACTTACAATATAACAAACTTGCACAATAATCAAGTTTCTTGCTAATTGATCAACACATTGAAATCTTGGTTAACAAAGTGGTTCCTTATCATTTCAAATCCTTTGATTGTGCTCTTTATTCTTAGGTTTAAACTGTTGACTGAATTTTTTCAAATCAGTATACAAAAAATGTATGTGGAAAAACACAAATTTTATTTCTTAGCAAAGAACTTTGAAACGTATTTTTTTACTGAGAACTGTAAACTTGGTGGGAAGATGATCATAGCACTGTGATCAACATCCCCAAAAGAAGTTTAAAAAAACACAGCTGTTGTTTTGGTCTAGTACAAAAAATTGGCTTCAGAGATGTAAATTTCAACTGTTTGAAAGTGTTACACTTCTTTTTCTTTTATTATTTTGCCCATCATATGATTATTGTCAACCGTGTGCTCGAATCAACTCCATTCCCACCATGTAAACAGATCCCTTGAACTACTAATGAGGTTGAAGGTCACTTGCCCTGATGCTAGCCTGTCGTTTAAGAGCCTCATTTCTGTCTATGCTGTTCTTTCGGCATTCTTGCCAGGTCATAATGTGAGTCTTGTCAGCAATTGCATCAATTCTCATGAATTCACAGGGGATGCCAAACTGTCAAAAGAGGACACAATTTCACCAGCAAGACATTTGAAGTGAACCCATAATTTTCAAGCGACTAGCATTTGAGTTTCAGAGGTGATTGGGTATTACATTGGTTTTGCTTTCAATAAAAGTTTGGAATTGGTTCCAAAGCTATCAAAAGGAGCTGTTACAGTTTTAGTCTGCCATATTTAGCTTGGCACTTTCACCCCATTTTGCTATAACTGCTGATATAATTTAACAATCATTGAAATGCCATCAAATGAATTTTCAAAACAACCATTTCCCAGCTGCATAATTTACCATTAACAGTTTTAAATGCATCAATCAATTCTACCCTGAGAATTTGCTAAGAGGTTTAAATGACCTTTGTGGAATGCCTGGGAAATCTTAATTGAATAGTTCCAGACTTGTGCATATAACAGATTTAAGGAAAAAAGAAAAACCTGAAAAATTTATTGATCTCGATCCTGGTTGAATTATCCAAAAAAACAAACACTGTTATCTCCTGTGTTTCTCTATCTCTCTTGTAGTTTATAACTCCCAGATACACATAGGCATGGTGACCCAATTTTTTTTTCTGACAACCTGTTTAAAATTGAGCTTGGAGCCTTGTTGTCCTTTTGTACCTACTGCACTTCTAGGACAACTGCCTGTTTTAACTTTGAGCTCTCCTGAGCTCTCCTGGGCTCCCTGTGATCTCCTCTTTTCTTTTGATAGCCTTTAATGATGACTTCGGTTTTACAACCTTCTGTCAGAATACACTCTTGTAAAAGGATAACTGCTATACACATAGAGCATCTTATAACCCCTTACTTAAAGAAGAGGGTTTGACATGCCGTCTTGCGGATTAACCTGTCATTTACCTTTATAAGGGAAATTGCAATTACACCTGGTTTCACCACTTCTTTCATCTTGGTGCAAACTGCCTTTACAAACTGATAAAATAAAACAAAAACATTTCAAAGAAATATCTCAGTTTGAGTATCTCTACAACCTTGAATGAAAAGCAACTAAAATCATTTAACCCTTTCACTCACAATTTTAAAAAAATATCTTCACAACAATGACACATTTTCAAGCAGAAAGATAAGAATAAATACATCAACTGGAGGATAACATTAAATTCAAGACAAATTCTTTGATCTGATAGGATGAATTGATATTCAAGTCTTAGAATGTGAAGATCAGTTCAGGTCAGGTACCCATTCAAATACAAATCAGTCAGGAAGAAGTGGAAATGGATGGGCCATGCCTTGAGGAAACATCATCACAGTATTACTATTGACAGTAACTGTAGGCAAGCCTTGAAATGGAATCCTCAAGGCTCATGGAAAAGAAGACACCCCAAACAAACACCTGGTGGGGAGATATTCAGACTGAGATGAAGAACTGGGGCCACACCTGAACCACACTCTTAAGGCTGGCCCAGGATGGAACAAGATGGAGAAGGGAAATCATTGATGACTAATGCTCCAAAAGAAGCTAAGGGCATAACTCACACACTAACTTGGGAAGTGAAAGGGTGAATGCATTCTGGATGTGGCTGAAAAGTCCTTAAAACATGCTTATGATGTTTCAAGCAGTATTAACCCTTTAACTCTCAGTAGTCATAAACATACAACTTCTCCTTACAATATCCATACATCATCCAAAAAACAGGTGATGAGAATACATAAACTTATCAGGTAGAAATTGCTACCTAGATCTAACATGAAATTCTCATAGCTTGTTAATAAGGAAATGTCTTGCAGCTAGAGAGGAGACTTAGAGGGTTAGAAAATGGTTATATCAGTCTTCCTAATTAAAACTGATTTAGTCAGTGAAAAAAAGAAAAAAAAAAGGTGCAGTGACCTAAATTGCAGAGAAATCCTTGCTATTTCTACATGCTTCAAGCTTGGTCCACTGCAAACTTTAAATTGCAATTCAAATTATCAAAAAAACACACAAAAAATTGTTAACCTGGTGAGGTACAACAAACACAAGAATATCTGCATCCTTGGCTGCGTCTACTACATCTGGGTTTGCTACCTACAAGAGAAGACAAAACAAAAATAAATGACAAGTCCCTTTTAGCTTAGGAAATTCCTTGCAAATTTCAGTTGTTTGACCATCACTACAAACTTATTCAAACTACTAACAATACTGTAAATAGGTCTATATTGCTAAAATTATGATTTCTTTTGTTTGGAAGTCACCATGTTCACAAACACCTCATATTAAAGAATTCAGTCAAAGCCAACTTGAAACAACCAGGGGTTGAATTATTCATTTTGTATAGCTTAGTATTTCCTTCATCAAATAACTAGCTACTTGGTAAAGCCACTCCTTTAAAGCAAAATTGGTCATTTACTGGTACTGATGTGGGTCAGTTTTGCTTTCAAAGTAAACTTATTTTTTACCATTATCTCCTGACTGAACAAGCTGGTTTGCTTAAAAAGAAAGTTATAAACTTTAAAAATTTCCCTAAATTCTTCAAATTTTTTGGAATAACCTTTGTCACCTTCCAAAGGTTATTCCAAATTTATGAGGAAATTAGCAGGAAAGAGGCATATTCATGAGAAATCACTTTGTTTTCCTGCCTCTTTAACTACTGAATGAAACGAATGGCAATTCAAGCATATCGACTCAATCTCATGCTTTGTTGTTGTTCTTTTGTTTGGTTAAAAATAATGTGAAAACTTGCATTTTTGTCAATCTATTATGTAATCAATTACAAATAGACAATCAATACAGACATCGCAAAACAACATCGATCGACATTCATCCTTCCTCAATACGTGAAAAATATCTATGCAAATTTGGTGACTATGGTTTCGCTCTACAGATCTGAAGTGCCACGATGCCATCTGATGACATGTCCACTTAAAATGACGAACTTAATTTAGATCCATTGTGATTAAACCTCAAGAATGTTTCGTTTCTTGAGTGTTTAGCGAGATTTAAAAGGTAAACACCCTCCGACTAGGTAATAAAAAAAAAAGGATTTCACGTCTTTAAGGGATGTTGAAGACTGAGTTTATTATTGAGGGATGAACAATTTTCTGTTGACATAATCGCAGTTTACATTCAACCCGCTTCCCCAATGAACTTACAATGTTGTCCGGCAGTTTAAAACCTTTGAGGTACTTCACATTCTCGTGTTCCGTGTTGATAATTTCTGTGAGCTTCTTTCCTTCAATTAGCTCTTCATAAACGTACATCTGCACCGTTTGTTGGAATAAATCCGGATGGTCTTTCACATTGGCGCCCACAATGCGAGATATCACAGAACCCCTGAAAGAAGAAATTATATAAAAACAGTCGTTCGGTGTTCGCCAGATTTTGAAGGCTCTGTATTCGATTGCGAGCGATTCTTCCAATAAGTTGATTTCATTTAGGTAGCTAGATACCTCAGATGATAAACTTACCAGTTTCCGGAGCCTATTATAGATACTTTTTTCGGAGCTGCCATTCTTAGTATGTGCAAACTTCGTGTAAACAACCTATAGATCATTGCATCTTCATGCTTGGACTATTGGAACAGGGCGAACGAACAGAATCATGGGATGCCCGTCGCGAACCACAGGACAACCATTAACCCTGCGTGACACAAGAAGCTGAAGTATGGCCGACCATTTCATAAACTTTCTTTTCACTGCGCACTGCATATCGTGTATTCCATTGAAAGGATTCTGCGTAATCAGCGGTCAAATAGCATGTATTGATGCAAGGAATATCAAATTTACCAAAACCAGACAATCTGTTACAGATATACTTAACAAATAGATTAATGATGACGTCATCTATGCGTCTGTCCTCCAATATATCATAAACATGAACTAATCTAAAACGTGTATGATTCCACTCAACGTGCAAAAACGAATAGACTTCAGAGTAATGGAACTGTTGCCTTAGATTTTTCCCTGATTCTCTTAACATTTAATATTAGAATTCTGGTACAATAAATACTGAAATGTTTCTTTACCCGCGGGAAAGTACGAGGTCTTTTTCGGCACGAGAATGTATGATGTTACGATGCTATAAAGAGGAAGTTGTAATACATCATAAAATGAATCATAATTTAGTTAAAAGACCGGTCCCATAATTCCTTTGTGGACTGATTCAGACAGAAAAACAAACATCTGCGTGGAAGTCGACTAAGAAATCTTGTTCACAAAAGGTGCTTACTAATCATTTGGTTCTTCTAAAAGTTCCGTGAGAATTGAAACGGAGACAGTTGAGATATGAGGCGAGCAATTCAGAGGCGTGAAGTAATTTCAAAGAAGCAGACGTTAACAATTGCATGTATTTGTGCTTTTACGGCATTGAGAATGTTCTTTACATTTTTCTTCTTCGTCACAAGCATTATTTGCATTGTGAAATTAGGAAGCCGCATCGAAAAGTGCAAAGGCCAAGTCAGTTTTTCTCAGAAAACGATCGATGCTCTCGACACTACCAGCACTTTTATCGAGACAACTTTTTCGTCGCTCTTGATCTTTCTTCTCTATCGCTGGAAATGGTTTCACTTCAAAAATTTCCTCAAGGCTCTGCCAAAACGGCGAAGGGCTTGGTCGTGGGCCATCTTGTGGATTTTGCGTATTGTCACGAACGTTCTCATCGATATTATCCCGTCCGTTAAGAATGGTAACTATATGCTGGTCGTGCTCGGCATTTCATTGAGCTTCGAATTCTTTTCAACAACTATTTTTGCCTGTGTGATTCAGTTTGTCTTCCTCACCGAAGTCACAAGATGGATCAATCTTTACATCACGGATGCCAAATGCTATTTCATATGGCTTTACCGGATTGTCTTACTTACGTACGGCTTCCGACTGCTCTCACTATTCCTGTATGATTCCTTTTTGGTTGCCAGGCACATAGTACGGGAAAGTGAATATAAGTCATATGACCAAATTTTGCTGTTTTTGGATGCTGGTTACAGAGGCAGTCTATCGTATTTCTTTTTCGGAAAATTTTTTGAGTTTTCTATCCCGGAAGAAGAGAAAGTTGTTCGGGAAGTTCAACTGGAAGAACCAAATGAAGAGCGAGAAGCTGAAGGACGAGGAGAAATCAGAGGTGACCCAGAAAATGATAAGGAACTCGATTCCTTGGCATTATCAGAGGAATCACTTCTGGCCTGAAATCAGCACGATAACATTTGTAAAGATAACAATATGTCTTGAGATGCAATTTGGAATGCAATTTGGAATGCAATTTGGAATGCAATTTGGAATGCAATTTGGCTACGACGAGTACAATTCGTAGTCTATGATTTTGATCTTTGAATCTACGAGTGCTAGTTTTTCTCACTTTGCGCACGAGATGTAACATATAGTCACTTGTTAGAACAATTTTTAAATTGTAATTAGTAATCTGATATTGCTTTATTTTGCTTTACTTCGCTTTGTGTTTAGTATGGAAAGCTAGCGCTAGTCTCTCAACCAATCAGATGTAAAACTGACAAATCAATTACGACTTGGTCGCCCGCGTTTTCTTGCGCTTTCGGCAGTGAGGTTATGTTTACTTTTAAAATCTCACTGGCTTTTCAAGGTATTTTTCTTTCTTCTGATTCGTTGCTGGTTTTTGTTTTATCGGAAAGCACTCTAATATTAGCACAAGTTCTCGCTGTATCTGCTCTAGTCTTTGTAATATAAATTTACGGAAATGCCTTATTTACAGAACGGATAATTTTAGTTTCTAGCTGGGAACTCATAAAGTGTTAACTTGCATCCTGTGTGAACCAAACAACAAATGCCATTTTGATTTATTCCCTAATTGATAGTATCGGCTTGTTAATTTTCAAACAGTATATTTTTTCAATCGGAAATTAATTCAATTTGTTCCTCGTAGCCCAAGCGGGGCTTATTGATAAATTACTAAATCCAGAGGGGCTTCAATTTGGGGAAAATTTAGGCAGTTTATGAATATCATATATCTGAGTCAGCTCAGGATTATGAACCAGTAATCATTTGTTATTGTAGAGGTGATTCAGATAGCTAATAACCAAAAAATAACCGTTGAGCTTCACTTCCGGTTGAGATTTTTGAGAACGTGCCTTCGACTCTTCAGTTTTAAAGATATCGATATATTTTGTTAAAATGGGTAATTTAGTGTTAACAAATGAGTCGTAAACGTAAATTTGCCTCCGTAAAGAATTTAAAGGCGGACGTTTTGGGCGCTAGCATTTCGTCAGAGCCAGATTTTGGTGAAAGGCTATTAGCGATTTCATTTTGTCGTGATCTTTGCTATTTAGAGACATTTACACTCAAAATTCGTCTATCCAGTAATAGAGGGGCAATTTAAAAAAAACTCAACAATTAAATTATTCCTTATAGAAGACTGACAACAATACGTCATTAATTATTCCTGGCGTGGCAGGAGATGCTGAATTTAATCATCACATTCATAGGTGTCTATCAGTCCACTTTCCTCCAGGTCAAGCTCTGCAAAGATGAGAATTGACCACATTATTTTTGCTTTAGTAGTCACATATTTAAACTTGTTCTTTATACTTCTGTTATTCTGTTATGCCGTTCATTGCATCGTGATAGCACTTTTGTGGAGTTTGCTTTTTCAGCGGTCCAGATGTATATCCTCTATCGATGGGAGAGAGGTTTCTTCAGACATTTCCTCCTCCGCTCTCCAAAACAGGGAATGGTATTGATGTGGTGTTTCTTGTGGATTGCACGCATTGCTGCGAACGTTCTCACAGATGTCATTCTAGGTATTAGCAGAAAATATCCCGTAGTTATCGTCTTAGATTTGTCTGCTTCGCTAACGCTTAAGCTTCGCAGCGTGGCTCCATCTTCGCTTTCCCGGAAAAGCTGGTTTGTTGGCCGTATTGTATCGCGTAAGTTTATTTACGTATGGCCTTCGAATGCTCGCATTCTTGCTGTACGACTCTCTTTTGATTGCTAGACACATCTTTCAAGAAAATAAATGCCAGCAGGTCGACGGCATGCCACTAACTTTGGATTCTGTTTACAGAGGAAGTTAGTCATTTCTTTACGGCAAACTTTTTGACTATGTTATCACGGAACTGGTGGAGCTGACGAACATTTCCAGTTAGAGGGAGTTTCAGAAGTTGCCGATATCGATGGAAGAAGAAGATATCGAGGAACGAGAGATAGATTAACTTCTTTGCTTTTTTGTAAACTTAAAAATAACGGGTCCGGAACATATCGTGCACTAGACTTAAGTCTAGTTTATGATTTTCCCCGAATTTCCTTCCAACATACAAACGCTTTCTCTTACATTAATTCTGAGAAAGATCAGCTTCCTAGAGATTAGAATGTTCTTCAAATAGGACAAACTTCTTTTCCGCCGGAGCCCGATTTAATTTTCTTTTCTTTTTTTGCAAGAGTTTCACATTTTTCGAGAAAATTTCACCCAACGCGAAAACGAAAGTGAATGAGGAAAGAAACCACTACGAATGAATTGTAATGATAATGTAATTCAATGAATTGTAAACAGGTGATAAATATTGTTAGATAGACACAGATTGGCCAAGCTTTTGT